AATTCAAAGTCATACAAAAATGTAAAGTCTTCCAAGAAAGGAAGTACATGGACAAATATAAATACAGTATTATCATAATTTTGTTTTGTAACTCCAAGTTTTTATTTTCAACAGGATTTAAAAGAGGGAAGTGTGAACATTTATAATAAATTGATAGGGGGGTCTTCAAAAAACTCATGGAACTGTATTCTATGAAAAAAATTTATGCGTGGATTTCAAATTTCTTCTGCAACAAAATAAAATTGCATGTTAATGTCATTTCTCATTAAACATTTGAAGTCCCTCACCTCACAAGTAACTAGGTACAAAGTATATAAGGATGTAATTTGTAAGACCCATAACGTGAATAGAAGGGGTGGAGCTGTAAAAGAACAATTTTTATAAGGGATAGAAGTTAAATTCATATCAATTACAAAAAAATTCTTACAACTTTGAATGTTATATGTAATTCCTCTAGCAACCTCAGAGAAAAATCCACAATATATAATATACACAAAAGAAAATGAGAAGAGTATCAAAATGTATCACTAAAAAATAACTAAATGCAAAAGAATGCAACAATGGAGAACAGGCACAGAAAAGCTATAAGACATACAATAAATGATGTCAAAATAGAATAAGTTTCCCTGACAGTAATTTAAATGTGAATGGATTAAACTCCACAATAAAAAAGCATAGATTGGGACCAGTGGATGGCTTAATGGTTATGTTGCTGGACTCACACATAGTCTACTGGGGTTCAAGTCCCATACCCAGGGCTTAAAACTCATGCCCAGCGTGTGTGTGTGTGTGTGTGTGTGTGTGTGTACGTGTGTGCCCAAAATCCTGAGTGGAGAATGGAGGAGAAGGAATTGCAGCATGGCTATCCACCCCCCCCCCAAAGGGCATGATTTCTCGCTTTCTCTCTCTGTCTCTCCAGCAAGTGCATGAGCCCTATAGCAAAAATCTCTCTAAAAACAAACAAACAAAAATACATATATTAGCAGAATTAATATTAAAAAAAGGACTCGACTATATGCTGTCTAGAAGATAATTTCTTTAGATCTAAGGACATAACATAGATTGAAAGTAAAAGAATGGCAAAACACATCCCTTGGAGATAACCAAAATATTGCTAGAATGGCTATACTAATATTAGACAAAATAGACTTTATGCCAAAGATTTTTACAAGAGAAAAAGAACGATAATATTTATTGACATAAGGGTCAATTCACCAAGAAGACATAATAATGATTAAACACACACACACACACACACACACACACACACACACACACAATATATCGGAACTCTGATACATATCAAACAAACACCAATAGAAATGAAAACAAAAATATACATATTTATATCAATAGTCAGAAAGTTCAGTCCCACTTTTGATAGTGGCTATAACATTCGGACAGATGATTAGTAAGGAAATAGTTTGCACAATATTATAGACCAACTGGTACTAAAAGACATATACAGATCATTTCATCAAAAAACATCAGAATACATCTTTTTCTCAAGTACACCAGAAACAGATCCTGTGCTAGATCTTGTTAAGTGAAAAAAACAAAACAAAAAAAGCAAGTGTTTATAAATGAAAAAAAAGAGATTAATATCAAACAAAACATTTTTTCTGATTACAATGGAGCTAAACTAGAAGTCAGCTGCGGAGGGAAAACTAGAAAGTTTAGCTACGTGGAAATTTGACAACTCACACTCATACAGCAAATTGATCAAAGAAGAAATCACAAGAGAAATTAGAAAATATCTTGAGACAGGTGAAAATGAAAGAACCACATATTGAAACAGCTGCAATAGAAGTAGTCTTACAGGGATGTTTAAAGCTATAATTACCCGGTACCAGCAGATGGCGTAACGGTTATGTCTTTATACTCCACATAGTCCACCACAGTTCAAGCTCCTGACCTGGCAGCTTAAAACTCACACTGCGCACATGTGCATGCATGCTCAAAATCCTAAGAAAAGAATGGAAGAGAAGGGACTGTGGCATGGCCGGTCCCCCTGGATTGTGATTTCTCACTTCTGTCTCTCTCATATAGCCTATAGCAAACATCTCTAAAAATAAATAAATAAATAAGTAAATAGAAGAAAGAAAAATGAAAACAAAAAGCTGTAAATGTTCACATTAAAAAGTACAAATGGGGCACATGTACCCAGGTGGCATAGTGGTTAAGGTGTTGAACTCCAATATAGCTGACTATGGTTCAAGTCCTAGACTCAGCAGCTTGAAATTAACACCAGGCACGTGTGTGCATGCCCCAAATCAGGAGAGGAGATTTGAGTAGAAGGGATCGTGGTGTAACCATCCTCCCTGAGGGATGATTTCTCACTTTCTCTCTGTTTCTCCAGGAACAGCATGTGCCCTATAACAAAAAATCTCACTCTCTCTCTAAAGAAAAAAAAAAAAAAAAAAGAAGAAGAATGGGGCCAGCTATTCACATGGTGGTTAAGGTAGCTGGATCCTATGTGGCTGACTTTGTGGATCAAATCCTGCCAGCTGGTGTGTCTACATGCATGCCCCAAATCCCCAGAGGAGAATGGAGAAAAATGTATTACAGCATTGCCATCCCGCCTGGATGGTGATCTCTCTCCCCCGCCCCCATCTCTGGTGATTGCACACACCACATAGCTAAATCTAAAATAAATAAATAAACAAACAAATAAAAAGACAAGAATGACCTCAATTTACCAATCTAACTTCACACCTTAAGGAACTAGAAAAGAGAAGCAAACCAAATCTAAATTAGCAGAAAGGAAAAAAGAAGAAATTTTAGAGCAGAGATAAACAAATAGAGAATAGAAAACTAAATCAAGAGTTGGTTCTTCAAAAAGGTTGTCATATTAATAATACTTCAGCTAAATTAATCAGAAAGAGTAGATACAAATATCTAAAATGTGAAATGAAAGAGGAGAAATTACTATCAATTTTATAAAAATGAAATGTTCACAAAAGCATGTTTAAAAAATTTTACAATGGGTAGTCAATATAAAGTGGACAAATTCCTAGAAATACATATACTGCCAATACCAAATCATAAAAAATAAAAAATGAGAATATATCTGTAACTGGAATAACATCAAATAAGTACTTAAGCATCCCCTCCACCCAAAAAATGCCCAATACTGTATGGTTTTACTCATGAACTATATCAATCATTGAAAGAGGAATTAACACCAATCATTTCCCAAATCTTCCCAAATTTGAAGATGATGGAACATTTACTGACGAATTGTATGAGGCCAGCATTGTGTTGATACAAAAGATAGGCAGCTATTGCATGGAAAGAATACACCAGAACAATATTTATTAAGAATATTTTTCTCCTTAATGTCCTTCCTCAGACTCTACTCCTTCGCCTGCCCTCTAAGTAACGTGATTGAATGTGTAAAATAAATATAAATAAAAAGGAATAAAACATTTAAAGAAAGAATATTAATGTAAAAATTCTCAATAAAATACCAACAAACTGAATTCAACACCATATTCAAAGGATTAAGCATCTGACCAAGTGGAATTATTTTCTGGAATGCAATAATGGTGCAATGTACTAAAATCAATAAATGTAATATACCACATTAACAGAGTGCAGGGTGAAAACCACAATTATCTCAACTCTCAACTGATGCAGAAAAAACACTCAACAAATTCAACAATACCCTTTCATGTACACAATGGAAATATGAACAGAATTTTTTTTTATCTCAACATAGTAAGGATTAGATACAAAAAGTCCACAGTAAACACAATTCAATTGAGAAAGACTAAAAGTTTTTCCTCAAAGATTAGGAAAAAAGACAAAGATACCTACTTTCATTGTGAAAAATGATATGATGATTCCTCAAAATATAAAACATAGAATTATTATATGATTTAGCAATTCCATTTCTGATACATACATAAAAAATTAAAAATAGGAACTAGAATAGATATTAATACACCCATGTTTATAGTAGTATTATTTATATTAGTCAAATAGTGGGATCACCCTGTGTGTCCACTGAGAAATGAATATGTTAACAAATTATGACATATGAATGCAATGAAACATTATTCATCTTCAAAAGGGAAAGAAATTTGGACACATTCTGACACATGGGGAAACCTTGAAATTATTACACTGATACAAGCCAGTCACAAAAGGAAAAATATTGTATTATTCCTCATTTTTTTTTTGAAGAGGTTTTATGCTATAGGGTATGTGCACTTGTCAGAAAGACAGAGAGACAGAAAGCTAGAAATCACCCCTTGGGAGGATGGCCACATTGCAATTCTCCTCTCGGGATCTTGGGCACGTACTCACACGCACCCGACATGAGTTTAAGTCACCTAGTACAGGACTGGAACCACGATCAACTACATGGGAGTCCAGCGACATAGCCATTATGCCATCTGCTGGTTCTGTTTTATTCCTCTTTTTATAACATTATTTTTACATACATATTTTTCAAATTTACATTTGATCACTGTATATCTTTACAATGTACAACATAGCTTTTCCCAGCATGAATACAGTGCATATTAGTCAAGTCTAAGACATTACCATATACATTATTATCAACAGATAACTTCACTTTTGTGGCTATTAAATGTTTGTTTTCCTATTTTCCATTTTTTTTTCCTTTTTTTGGAGAGGTTTTTGCTCTAGGGCGCGTGCGCTCGCCAGACAGAGAGAGACAGAGAGATAGAAAGCGAGAAATCACCCCCCAGGGAGGATGGCCACACCACAATCCCTTCTCCTCTATTCTCCTCTCGGGATCTTGGGCACGCACGCACACGTGCCCAGTGTGAGTTTAAGCCACAGGGTCCAGGACGCGAACCGCGGTTGACTATGTGGGAGTCCAGCTACATAGCCATTATGCCAACTGCTGGTCCCTTAAATGTTTATTTTCCTGATCCTCCCTCCCTCTTATGCCCTCTTACCCACTCATTATTACCCACTCTCTCCTATACTGTTTCTAGTATCTACATTTACCCTCTCTACTATTAGACAAAAATATAGAACACTTCATGAATTTTCATATCACCCTTACACAGGGAACATGCTTATCTTCTCTGTATCATTTCAATTTTAGTATATGTGCTGCTGAAGTGAGCATTATGATTCCTCTTATATGAGGTTCCTAGAATAGTCAAATTGAGAGACATAAAATAGAGTGGTAGTTTCCATAGGTTGGGGGCATTGGGAGATGGGAAGTTATTATTTATTGGGTACAGAGTTTCAATTTAGGAAGATAAAAATTTCTGGAGAACGATGGTGATAATGGTTACACAATAGCGTGAGTGTGCTTAATTCCAGAGAACAGTATACTTTAAAATTGTTGAAATGGTAAAATGCATGTCATATACATTATACCACAATGAGAACAAATAAGTAACAAATAAAGAATTCTCAGGTTGGCCATGTAGCCTAGTGTTTAAGTGAGCTAATTCCACGTGGCTGAACGAGGTTTAATCCTGGGCCCCGGCAGCTTTAAAAATATACTGGGTGCATGCGTGTGCTTGCCCCAAATATTGACAGTATAGAGAAATGGAGGAGAAGGGATTATGGTGAGAGTAGTTTCTCCTTTTCTTCTCTGTCTGTCTGAAAAGCACCCACATCATCCAGCAATTAAAAGAAAAAGAAAGAAAAGAAGGGAGTATGGATGTTGGATATATGGGGTTTCTCTGTTCTATTTTCACTCTTTTTCCGTAAATATAGAAATTTTCTAAAAAACTGTTAAAAGTAGGAAAACAATATTCATGAACTGTATCTTATGGTTAATTTTTATTTGTCCTCTTGACTGGGCCATGAGATACATAGATACATGGTCAAACATTACTCTGGGTGTGTCTGTGAAGATGCTTTGGATGAGACTAAAATTTGAAAAGGTAGACTGAGTAAAGTAGATTACCTAGCATCACTACTGTGTGTGAGCCTCATCTAGTCAGTTGAAGACTTTAATAAATCAAAAAAAATCCCCAAGTAAGAGGAAACTCTTTCTCTTTGATTGCCTTGAAGCAGGACTTTGTTCCCTGTCTTTATACTTAAACTGAAACATCAGATCTCCCTCAGACTTCTGACCTTTGGACTGAAACCATACCATAAGCTCCCATGTTTCTCAGGCCTTCCTACTCTTGACTGGAAGTGTCCCATCACTTCTCATGAGTCTCAAGTCTGCCAACTGCAGATCTTGGGACTAGTTAGTCTCCACAACTGTGTGAGCCAATTCTTTATAATCTTTCTCTTTTCCTTCCTTTTTTTCTTCTTTCCTTCCTTCCCTACTTAAATTCCCTCCTTTATTCCTTCCCTCTCTCTCTCTGTCCCTTTCTCCTTCTCTCTTTTCATTCTTTTCAACTCATTTCCTCTTTCTCTCTATGTGCACGCATGCACACACACACAGGGAAACACACATGCACAAACACATACACATACACACACTCATTGGTTCAGTTTCTCCAGAGAATGCTGACAAATACATCAAAATATGACTCAGAAATACACAAAATGCATCGGAGATTCAGATGTAGAAAATATGAAAGCAAAGAAAGGAGACATGAATAATATCAAAGATTTCACATAAATTTAATCAAAATTCTAAAGAAAAAAGAAAGAATGAAGTAAAGGCTGTATTTGAATGAATATGGCTAAGAGTTTCTAGATATGCAGAAAAAATCTGACCTAAAAATGCTGGAAGTCCAGAGAATCCACACTTAATGTGGCAAAAAAGAATGCAAAACATTAAAGACAAAAAAAGAGCAGTCGGATGAATTATCTTCAAGGGAACAATATTTAGACAGTCATTTCTTCAACAATAATGGAAATCAATGAAAATGGTAGGTCATCTTCCATGTTTTGAAAAGCATGTGTCAAGTAAACAATAACTGAATAAGTTTATATTGGCCAGTCTTAAATAAAATTACAAATAGACTTTAAACATAAGGACAATAATCCCAGTTTAAAAGTCTGACATTTGAGAAAAGATGAAGAGAAAATAATGTGACTATGTAGGTATAATTAAAAGCACATTAATTTTATTAAAATTAACATATTGTATCATGAAAACAAAATGGAATTTGAACAAATTTGAACAATAACTTATGGAAGGTGATGTTGAATTCAATTACAGTATTCTAAATTTCTTGTATTATTCTGGAGGAGGAAATTGACATTTACTAATTGTTTTAGTTTAGTATGAAAGTTTTAAATTCTAGGTACTATAGAATAGCATATGAATGACTATAAGAATAGCATATGAATTCATCTAAACTAGGAGGGGGAAGTAAATGGAATACAAAAATAATCAATGCAAAAGAAGTTTAGAAAAAAAAAACAGAAAAAACACTGAATAGACAAAATACATGGAGAGCACAAAATAAGATGATAAATACAGACAACATCTATTGATAATTTAATTAAATCAGAATTAATGCAAAACAGTCATAACCAACAAACTACCAAAGTTGTAAATAAAGATAGAAAGACTTAGCGTGCTTGTTGAAAGCTGTATTAGAGCCTGAGGCAAAGAGAAATATCAGTAAATTCATTTTAGTTTTTTTTACAAATGATATAGTGTGATCATTGTGAGCTTTTGCCCTCTAAAATATTGCATCAAAATATTATTTATCTTGATTACTGAGAATTTTTGTTTCTCCTTAAAGTGTGTATTTGAGGCTTCTCCTTCGTCCTGGCCTTTTTGAAAATGAATGACTAGAGACAGCATTATCTAAAGAGGCAGAGCTTTTGCCCTTATGTCTACGTCCAAGTCTCACATCAATGCACTTGTTTGACTGAACTTAAATCACCTACAGAGACCATGTTCAATGGAGTCTTGGAAATGTATGTTTTTAGTTTCTAGGGTCTGTGGAACATGAAGACATCCTATAGGGATGGTGGAATAGATATTGACTTCCAATATATTCTACCCCCTACGAGTAGTTCCATTTTTTTTTTCTTTTTGTCCACTTAAATCTGCCTTCCTTTTCCTTTATTATTATTTTTTTATTATTATGGTTTCTACTTTTTTAAAAGAGATTTTTGCTGTAGGGCACATGAACTCCCAGAAAGAGAGAGAGAGACAGAGAGACAGAAAGTGAGAAATCACCCCCCCAGGGAGGATGGCCATGCCACAATCCCTTCTCCTCCATCCTTCTCTCTGGATCTTGGGTACACACGCACAAGCTCCTAGTGTGAGTTTAAGCCACCAGATCTGGGATTCAAACCGTAGTCGACTACATGGGAGTACAGTGACATAGGCATTACGCCAACTGCTGGTCCCAGTTTCTACTTTTTTAATTAGTTAAAATAACTTTTTATAGTGTCTTTCAGTTTATTCTTTCAAGTATTTTGATGATATTCATTTTGTTTGTAGGGTTTATTACCTTACTGTTATAGATCATGTCTCCTGGACTTTTGAGTTTATTTTTCTAATACACTTATCTTCAGCAAGAAACCTATATCTTTTTCCTGTGGTAGTCCTGTGTTCTCTGTTGGGTAAATGTTGCAGGTTGGCTTTCCTAAAGAGACTCAAACAGAGATTTGCATGTAAGTTTTTTTTTGTTATTTTTTATTTTTAAGGGCCTGCTGCTAGGCTCAACACTTGCTATGCAGTTTTAACAGATGTCTCAACTCATCCTACAAGGAATATTGAAGAATTGTCTCAATGGGTCAAGTGAGTTTGATTTTTATACTGTCATCTTCACCAGACTTCGGAGGCAGGCTGCCCTGAGCAGGGGATAAGCCTCTAGGCAAGCTGACTGTTTTCAGCAGAGGTAATCCCCATAGGGACTGTCAGCTAAAGGTTTTGTCAGACCTTCCTCCTTACAGCTGGGGAAAATAAGTCCATTTCTTTAAGGAGGACCTGGGTGGCCTGTCAATGCATTCACCACAGTTGCTAGACAATTTTTACATTTGTTTTTGGTGGGTTCCAGTCAGGGTTTTCATGTTCATCTTTTAGCCTCAAGATACTTGCAGCAGATGAATGGTATAAAATTGAATCCATAGGCACATTTGGTGTCTGCTTTAAACATCACTTTTCTAAGGAACTGTTTTTTAAATTTAGAGGTTCCAGGCAGAAAACAAATTCTTTATTGCGTCCTTAGACTGAGTAGAAAAAAATGTTTCCATTTTGTTTTTAGCAAAGGGTCAGCCTTTTCAGAGTCCTACATTTATGCTATTTCAAATATAATTCCCTGCTTTACCTTGACTCAAGACCACATCGCTTATCCCCACATGGATATTAGCCTCCATGCCTGCCCTAGGTCTGTGCTATATTCTATATTCGGTACGATTTCCCTTGATCACCAGAGTTGGCTAAGCTTGTCAGTCTAGGTTAGAGATTTTTCTGACACTTAAGGAGTTCCCTTTCTTTCTTTGAGCACAGATGCATATTAAACATTTTGGTCATGTTGAATGTAACATTTACACACAGTTTTAGCATTCAGTTCTGTCCACTTTATTTTTAAAAACAAAAATCTCCAAAATCCTTTTAATTCTCCATAGCATGTTAAAAAGACAGGGTTACTTTTCTTCCTCCTTGTTGCTAAAATCGCCCTTAGACTATTTGACTATATGCTTAGAGACAAAATATTAAAGTTGGAAGACCACATCTTTATTTTACTTTGTTAATTATTTTTGAAACCTTTTGCAGAAAGACTAAATATTCTCAAGTAAATATCGTAACAATATATTTTAGTATAATGCCGTAAACTATGGAGGTGATGCTTATGAAGTAGCTTGACCTGATTTTTATAAAGACCAATTATATGCACCAAGGTAATAAAATTGTTTATAACATAATAGGTCATTGCCTGATAAATTCTATAAACTGTTAGTAATATAAAATATATTTAATTTATAGATTTATATATATATATGTAAATGTAGGTGCTAGCTCGGTAGCCTAATAGCTAAAGGAGCTGGATCCTTCATGGCTAATTGCAATTTGAATCCTGGTCATGGCAACTTGAAAAAAACATGATTGTGTGTGTGTGTGTGTGTGTGTGTGTGTGTGTGTGTGTACGTGTGTACACAAAATCCTGACAGGTTAGAGAAATGGAGGAAAATTAATTGTTGTGTGACCATGACTCACTGGGGAGGTGCTTTCTCCCTCTCACTCTG